AAGTAATAAGATAAGATCAGGCATACTTTCTTCTGTGAACTTCACACATGCTCGCTACCGTTTGCCAGCTCATCAAATTGGGTTCACCACTCAAAAAGACAGAGCTTCTAATTTTACTGTCTGACTGCCAGATTGCTTGTGTTTTTGCTATATTTAACTTAAAAGCACAAAAAATGTTATGGCTCCACACACCCAAATATTCAAAAAGTCTTCCTTTATTTAGTTGTACATAACACCAGGAGGATAAAAAGAACAGCTGTTCTGGTTATGCCTTCTTCAGCATGCACAAGTCATTCAGCTGTCTAGTTTAGTCCCTTTCACTTTCTAACGACATAGAGTTTCAATCAACTCATTACTGACAGGTGTGAAAAATGGTTACATGTGACCAGAGGTGTCTGTGGATCTGCCTGACTGGTAACTTCCTAAGACTATCCACTAGATGCAGTCTCCCAGTCATTATACAACCACCCAGTCCCATACACAGAACTATATACAAATAGCACAAAGACATACAATACATCATTTCCCAGTGTAGATCAGAAATGCCATCTCCAACTTCTACAAGTTTCAAATCATATTTTGTGATGCAATGGAAATATCAGGCAGAACCATCATAAATTACTGTAGTGCAAGACAAAACACTATGGACATGAAGAACTGTGAAAAGAGGCAGAAAAGGAGACAAGTCCAATTCCTCATTCAGGATAATAGGAGACATGGCGTTTAATGTAAAAATCCAAAAGGCTTCATTCACATTGCAGTAATAGTTTTTCCAAATTAGCATAACTGCATGGTATTGTCACTTTTCTTATACCGCTGCACTTGACTTGGGAAATAGAATGGTGATCTGTAAAGTGGCAAGCAATAGCAGATGTGATATCTGCACGTCTAATAGCTCAGTTCCATCCATCCATCTATTATCTACACCGCTTATTCCTGAATAGGGTCAAGGGGGACTGAAGCCAATCCCAGCTGACATCGGGTTAGAGGCAGGGTCCACCCTGGACAGGTCGCCAGTCTATCACAGGGATGACACTTAGACAACCACACACACCCACACTCACTCCTAGGGGAAATTTAGAGCCACCAGTCAACCTAAGCCGCATGTCTTTGGACTGAGGGAGGAAGCTGGAGGACCTGGAGAGAACCCACGCAGGCACAGGGAGAACATGTAGACTCTGTGCAGAAAGGCCCCGGGTCAGCTGGGGCTCGAACCTAGAACCTTCTTGCATGACAGTGCTAACCATTGCTTCACCATGCGATCCTTCAAAATAAAAATGATGCTGCATATACAGCGATGAGAAGCGTTTTAGCATCTTGTATATTTAGCTAATTGATAGCCTTATAGGAGCAGGTGTATCACAGGAAGTGGACAGATCTTTGTGTGATACATCAGCTGGCAGGACTGTGGTTGATGCTGGGCCTCTGCATAATCCAGAGGAAGATGAGAGGATATAGCTGTTAAACTACACTGTCAATACTGGTCAAACCTAAATGGATATGCTCAGATACTCTGCTTTGAAAAATGAGACACTCAGCAGGTATAGTTGCTGTATTTTCTGAAAGGATGGCTTGTTAGTTTCTGTATATCTCACACCTTTTCTCAGATTACTGCCTAGATTTTGTTAATACTAACGGATTAAGGCCGCATTCAGACTGTCTTTAGTTCTGCATGAAAAAGGCAGCGCTCTCAAACATTTGAAAGGAGCCGGGCTGGCTTTTCAGTGGGGATGGCAAGAGGCTCTGGCACCACAGGATCATTCAGCAAAAACAATTCAACTTGTCTTAATTTTTGCCTCAACGTCATCTAGCAAAAATCTGATAACTCACTCCAACTCAAACCAGACCTGCTGAGGTCATTTTCAGTTAAAGTTGTGGTACCAGTTGCTAGGAGAGTTATTACTTCTGCCAAGGGTGGGGGTTCTGTTTTTGCAGGCATTTGTTGGTGTGTTTGATTGTTAACAGCATAACTCAAATAGAGATTTTGAGCCAAACTCAATGCCGTTATCATTTTCATCCATAGGACTGATGTGCCATTTTATTAGTTGGGAGAGCTGATGGAAACTTTCTTCAAACTTCAAAATGTAAATCTTCTTAAAAACTTTATGGCTGTTACTTTTCTTTTCAGAACAGGCCGCGTTCTGTAGCACAGAAAGAGCGCAACAGAGAATGAGGCAAAACCAGGGTTAACATCGGTTTGGCAGGTTGATGGAGATCATTAAGCATCCAAATGTGAAGGCGAGTCGCCACACAGGTGAGCTGAAGCACTGGGCTCAATGAGAGACGAGCAAGGAGCTGTGGTAGCATTGTTCATGTAAGAGGGAGCCAGGATCCTCTTTGGGAGAGAACGTTCACCGAACTGGCGACGAGCACAGGACACACACGTAACAAACCAGCAGGCAGCTGATGGGAAAAGGGCCATATATAGACTGAATGAGTCTGGTAGGTAATGAACAGCAGGTGGATGGAATGATGGCTGATTACCTGGCAGGAGAGACAGGGAATCAGGGATAAAACAGGACACATAAATCCATGTGTCATGACATCAAAGGACTAAAACTTGATGGATGTGGCTTTATTCCTGCATAAGCACTGTAGGCATCATTAGCAAACTAATGTTAGCTTTTCAGTTTTGTGCCTTTGTATTGAATTATTTTGGTTGTAATCTGGAGTCATTCCAACTGAATGCAATGTTAGTGTTTCGCTCTCCAATTAGCAAAAACCAGTGCATTTTCCTGGATTAGCTAATGAAGTAATTTTGATAAAGTTTGCTTGGTTTTGGTCCAGTTTATGTTGGACATAAGTAGTTGGACATAACTACAGTGAGTAGTTCCTAAAAGAGCTACTCACTGTAGTTCTAGCAAACATTATTTTTTAAAAAGAAAGTAATAATAATAATAATAAAGAAAATGGTGCATCTGCTGAGGACTATTTTCAGGTTCAGTTGTTAAACTTTAATTCTGGGTTCTTTGCCTTGTTGGTCATGTATCCTACAACACAGCTGTTCACAGGAGTTTTTCGTAAAAAGACCAAATTGCCAAAGAGACACCGTCACACACTTTGGAGTCAGTGGAGAGCGATAAATTGTTTTCCCCTGTGGTGGGCATGGTTTTCAGAGTATGATGCATTGCGCTCTGTGTCTATTAGGGGCAGCAGGAACATACTGCATATGTGTGTCATTCCAAAGTCCTGTCAAATGACTGGTGCTGGTCTTGTTAGTATCACCTCCTTTTCCTCTGTTGCTGGAACCTCCTTTGAACTCAGCTGAACTAAATGGACAGCACATACACCAATGGAGGTGCAGACACTGGTCACCATGAGTAATTTAGGGTTCACTGTCTTGCCCAAGGACATGTGGAGACCAGGGATCAAACCACTAACTGAGCTACAGCCACACCAAATATACAAGTACAGCCACTGTCTCCTGGTCAGCAGAAACTGACTGGCTGCTTATCTGTCAATAGCTGGTCCGAAACCTTCAAGCACACAGTCCTTGAACTTACAGGCTGTATAGGTTCAAAATGCTGTTACTGTAAAATATTCCTTTATTAACGTTGTGTGCTTGAGTGTGATCTATGTGTGCAAGTGCTTTGGCATATGACTGTGTCTGTGTGTTGCTCTGTAAGTGTGTGAGTCACATTCAAGCCTTCCTTACTCTTTATGGAACACAACTACATCAGAGCTAAAGACCGACAAAAGAGAGAGAGAGGGCATGTTTCTATTTACTTGTGGGGTTAAAACACTGGGAGCACACTGCTTTGCTGGGACCAGAAGTCACCTGTGGGAACTGGAGGCCAGGCCCCATGACTGTAAGGTTAGAGCAAGTGTCAGCTTTGGTTAAGGGTTAGGGTGAATCTCCTGGAACTGAATGAAGTTTATCTACGGACCCTATATGTGACAACCACAATGATGGGTGTGTGTTTGTGTGTAGGCACATGTACAGATCTGAGTGGGCTTCAGTTATATGCGTTATGCTATAATATTATACTATATGTCGTAGCTCTGTGGCATCTCTTTTGCAGTTCTGCTGTAGGCACTGGGGCTGACTGGCATGGCTCTTTCTGCCAGGGCTGGAAAATGATTGACATGGAACAGCAGACTGCTTCGATTGTCCAAAGGCAGAGGTTTCCATATGCTGTACAGATCCCAAACCCCCTGAGTCAAATTTGTGATTTGTTATGACTTGACTCCTACACCTACACACACACAAACCACACTTCCTTTTCTGTGTCTTTTCTTATTGTTTGCTTTTCTCTGTGTGCTCTTAAACACTTGAGATTAATAATGTTGTGTTTGAAGTGTTACAAATATGACAATGGCAGAATACTATTGGAGTGAGTAGGACTCCATAGAATTTGATGTTATATAATTCATTAACTGTACAGTCATTGTAATAAGCACATGTATAGTTGATTAGAGTGCAGTATGAAGATGTCTGAAATAACATGGAGAATGAAATGGTGTAGGTGCTGAGTTATAAATACAGTGGATGTCTTTGGTGGCTGGAGCAACAGGATTAATCCAGTGGTGGAAGTGCAGGAGCAGCACCTGTCCCTCCCTGTCCTTGCAGCTGATGGGCCTGTGAGGAAGGCTTTCAACCCTAAACTGCTGCAGTGAATAGTTTAGAATAAATGGATGGAAACATTTTAAAAGCCACTTTGTTGTCTTTCTGGGATGTCTGTTGGTAGGCAGCGGTATACAGACATATTGCACTGCAGTGTACATGGAAGCAGTGCCTTCAGTTAAAACCATGTGTGGGATGATTTACGCACATGATCCTGAATTTCAGTAAAGTGGGACCCAATAGCTCCTACATGGGATGTTGTTGCTGAAATGTGAACGTGTTCCTTATTCTTTAAGTTATTATACTTGTTTTCTGCTGCAGTGAGCTGTTGTCAATTGTTAGTGCGGGCAGACGTTAACCTCCAGAAGGTAGGTTGCATTCAGTTTACTTCACAGTCAGTGTGCTAAAAGCTTCGTTTTGAACTCTTCCCCTGCAGGTTGGAGTGGGTGGAGATCATTGAGCCACGCACGCGGGAGCGTATGTATGCCAACCTGCTGACAGGCGAGTGCGTGTGGGACCCTCCGCAGGGTGTTTGTATCAAGCGAACCGGTGACAACCAGTGGTGGGAGCTGTTTGATCCCAACACCTCACGCTTCTACTACTACAATGCCTCTACCCAGCGCACAGTGTGGCACCGGCCGCAGGGCTGTGACATCATCCCCTTGGCCAAGCTGCAAACTCTGAAGCAGCACACCGATACCACAAACCCTCGTCCTGCAGGTGGAGGAGGAGGAGGGAGAGCGTCAGCTGACAACAGCCCAGGACGTAACAGTGGGGTCAGCCGGGAAGGAAGCACTTCCTCCTCCCTTGACCAGGAACTGTCTGATAAACAGAGCAACAGAGAGGACACTGACAGGTAAGACTGGGGCTCTGATTTCTTGAAATATGGTGCAGAGGTAAACCTGTGTCTAAACTCCAGACGCAAGGCACATACGTGCAAGTCCAACAATGTTTTGTGAGCAGCCAGGTGTTACCAGGCACATTGTGGAGTAGAGGCAGAATACGTTATGACCAATCAAACCAGCTCCTCTCGTCCCCTCTAAAGAACAGGGGGAAACCAGACTGACTGATGTCCCTGATGTCAGGACATGGAAATATATGACAGCAGAGATTCTTTCCCTGTATCTTCTTCTCCTGCCAGTTATGTTCTCCATTCCTAGACTGACAGTGACAAAACTGTTTATGTAGAAGTACTGCACATAAATATTCACTCAGCAGTCTGCTAATGTCATTGACCAGCGTTTGTGCATGGAAGATAGAAAGTTTCTGGTCCTCAAACCAGCAGCAGTTATACAGTGTAATTCACTTAGTGATGCATCCAGTGTAAGAAATCCATGGAGGTCTCACATAAAGGTTTCACTGTTTTAAAAATAATACAATAAAATCATATTGTAATCACTGTGTTTCTGGTAAAACTGACTGAGGTCCACCAGAGGACAGTGGATGTCCACTTTATCTCCACCTACAGCTGCTTTCAGGCTGATCAAACCACAACAAAATGCAAAAACAGACACAACAGACACATCTATCCCTGCCATAATAACAAAGTCAGTGTGTGAGACTCGTTAGTTGAACAGTGACGGCAGCCACAGTGAGGTTGGACTGACTTGACCTGCTGAATCTCGACTGATTGGTGCAGACCACCTCTGGCTGTGTCCTGTAGGGACAGATGGTGCATCCTGACGCTCACCAACACTGTCTGACCATGTTCATATGTATAGCCGCATACTGAGGTTTAGCTTATTTATCTTATTTAAAAATAATCTTCATGATATGTAATAAATTGTTCAGAGTGAATTCCAGCAGACCAGTTGTGGATTTAAGGGTTAATTTTAAGTTGGTGTGTCCATTAAAATACATGTGTGTATCTGGTCTCGTGCTTCCGGGCCTACACACTTGTCAGGAAAATTGCAGTGTACCTGTGATTATGATAAGAGGTGGTCTGAGCAGGTGCTGGACTGTTGGAGGAATCTGGAGTGCCCTGATGAAATCCTCACAGGCACAGGGAGAACATGCGAACTCCATAAAGAAAGGCACCTGGTTCCAACCCAAAACCTTCTGGCAGTCAAGTGACACTGCTAACCGCTGTAGCACTCTGGTCCCAGATGGAGATCCAGTTCAAATCCTTAGTACAGAACATAGGCTTTGAGGTTAGAGGAATAGTTTTAAGCTAGAAACATTAACACACATACAAACACAGAGCACAGTGATGTCATCACACACCATCAAATGGTCCTGTTCCCAATGTGAAGTAATCAGTTGTGTCTTCATTAGCTTTGTTTTTCTACTAATGTGTTTTTTTAAGTTGCTCCTTGGTGTCAACTGATGGGTCTTTTTGTATTTTGTCCCGTTGAATCTGAAGTCAGCAAAGTTGTGAGTCCAAATCATGTTGTCATTTCAAAGATAATTGTACAGGAACTGCACAAATTCATTTACAGTGCTGGTCTAGTTACTGCTGCAGAGCAGCCAATCAGAAGCTAATCAGAAGAAATAATCAGAAGTCATTTCTGATATGTGACTTAGATAATCTCTTCATTCCTATGTTTCTAAACAGAGCAAGGTTTTGCAGTCGAACAACACAGTGTGAATAGACAATAAGAATGGGGAGAAACAAAAGTGAGAGTAAATTGCGGTCTCATTATAAGTCACATTTTCTGTCATGATCTTCTGGGATTACATAAGGTTTTAGGCATAAACTCACTGTAAAAGCCTAATTTACCTGCCATGGTCAGATATACTGTCTTCCCATCCATGTATCACTTCTTCATCCTTTCCTTTCAGTCTCCTTCCATCTGAGCTTCCCTTCCTGTCCTTTCTGTTTCTGTCGCTGCTCATTAATTTCCCTAATCTTTCACCTTTCACCTGTTTTTACACTCAGTTTGCTAGCGTCCTGTCGTCCCCCTTCCTCCTCTCTGTCTGAACAGAGCTGGTTTGTGGCTTTGCTGTAATCTGCTGCAGTCTGCAGTGATTGGTGGATACGCTTGGCGTGGGTCTCATTGTCCTGCAGATGTCTTCTCTACTTCAGCAATAGGACACACACACAGAGTACATGGTGTGCGAGCGCCCTAGTTGTTCTAGACACGTATTCACATTGTGTGCACTATGATGAACAGCAAATCACTGCACATGCTGTCTCCATGTATCTCAAGGAAAACAACCTGTATCGTGACCAAGATTTGTCAGACCAGTACGGTCATTTGTAGTCTTAGGAGTCTTGGAGAGGGTTCATCCTCTGAGGAACATGGATGTGTTCAGTAAATGCCATGGTAATCCTGCCATTTGGGTTTGATATTTTTGGTGAAGCTTGGCCTGATGGCAGTGTTAGAAGAAAGGTCAGAGGTAACCAGAAACAGGATCTTAAACAATCTGGTCAATAGCAGTCAAAGAATTTAGACAAAAGTGAAGGAAGGACAGACACACTAAATGTAAGATCATCCTAAATCCTACCATCATGATGCTTGCAACATTCAGTTTTGGTTGACATTATCAGAGAAGGGCTAATTCATCTACCGGTTCTACTGAGAGGTGCTTCTGAAGCTGTAAGTCAACTCTGAATCAAACCAAGCATTTCCTGTACTGTACTTTCTGCACACACAGTAGTTGAAAGATGGAATTTACTTGTTATTTATGGAACGTTTGGTCAAACAGTATAAATTGCCGCTTAATGATATCAGTTGGTTCATACGTTCACTCATCTTCCCATCATCCAGAAGAGTGTACCTGAACCTGGACTGCCCCATCGGCTCAGACATCATCTGTTCATAATAAATACTGGCACAATATTCTCTTGTCGCATTGGTTCACCACCGGCATTTAGTTGCTGCAATTAACAGTTCAGCAGAGGCTGAGTGTCAGTCTGAAGACAGGCTGTGTAGAGAGTGAATGCTGTTAAGACAGAGCAGGCCAGGTAGTTTGTCATACACCACACAGGTGGGAGCAGTTGATCTCTACACAGCTCTACCTTCCTCCACGTACCAAGGAGCCCTTTAAAAGAGGACATGAGGGACAAATGGAGGGAAACAAGGAGAATGTGTGAGATGTGGATGGGATGGAGAGGAGGGCAGAGATCAGGCTGATGAAAAGAGAAGAGGATAAGTAGCTGTTTCACTTGTGGTCTGTATGTTTATTCTGTCACATATCAGAATCACTTCACCTGTGCTCAGTGTGGACAGAACAATGGCTTGTCAGTTAGCACAGTGCCAGACTCCACAATGAATGCACACTGTAAAATGTATGTTTGTTTTAATCCTGTGCAAAGACCTGCATGTACCCACATACAGTAGTTACAGACGCACAGACATGGTCAGGGCCACCTAGTTTAACTGGAATCAAACACCATGAATGGAAGAAATATCTGTGGGTGAGATCTGCACTGGTCAGTTGTTATAGTGGGAATGACTTAATGCTGTGGTGCTGCGTTTGTGGGGTAGCCCACAGAAATGTGTGTTTCCACATACACTCCTTGGCCACTTTATTAGGTACACCTGTACAATTGTATGCAACACTTCCACCGTAACAGCTATTGTTTATGAAACTCAAAATGGTTCAGGTTTTGGTGAAATTGTCATAATTTTATAGATTCAATTGTATGATTATTATTGAGGTCATAGTTAAAGGTGGTGGTGTCATAGTGCAACAGCATGAGTGTCATCCAGGAGAGAATGACTGTTTGCCTGTAAGTCCAGTTTTTATGTTTTGTTTACACTGAGACTACGAAGACAGACAAAAGACAGGAGCGAGGTCATGGAGGCTATACTGTACACTCACCTTTCAGTGTAAATACCAGAATGGCCACCATCCTAAAATTACAGGCCCCCAAAATGTGACACACCTCAGTTATTCTTTGCAAGACAAGGCCCTAAACATCTGACACACATTTAAGACTTAAGACATTTGAGATCAATTTTGAAGAGCGTGTTCGCAAGAAAACAAATTATTATAAAACTAGAATCCATGTTGTTTGTTATTAAATTATACAGATCATTGAACCAATAAAAGTAAATAAAAGAGATTGGGTATAAACACTGATGTGTGTTTTGTATTTGCATCAGAACTTTAGCTCAGACATTTTTTGCCACGTAAATGAGTTATAGCCACTTGTAGAATGGCTGTCCATCTAGAGTCTTGACATTTGAAATACAAGTTCAATTCAAGGCTGTGATTCAAAATATGGAAAATAGTTGCAAATATAAAATATGAGACGCTGGACATAAATGAAACCTTCAGCTAATAATACCGATGTTTTAGCAACCCACCAGCTTGATTTTATCATTGTTGATACATTCAAATTGGAACTGATAATTAACAATTCCAAATTAACAATTAAACGGTATGCAGTTTATTTTACTCTATAATTCAATAGCCTTACCAATCTGTTAATGTGTTTAGCCTGAAATTCTTCTGTGCTGTATAACCAAGATTCTCACTGGCCCCACTGAACATTTTCTGCAGGCGCCACTGAATATGAGTGCTTTCTTTAGACGTCGTATGGATTTTTGATCATTTCAAGCATACCGAGGCATTACCTACTGACATTAGCTCACTGACATGCTCTTCCTTTGCACAACAAAAGAGTTGAAGGAAACACCTGGTAAAAATGGCTCAAACAAGCCATATGTCAAATATCTGCAACTGCAGCTGTGTGGTGGGGAGGTGGGAAATACAGGGCTCTGCCTCTGGCAGAGGTGGAGGGTCGAGGTGCCCAACCAAGTAGAGTTACCAAATGGCCTTTATGATGTGGTATTGTCCTGCTTTGATAAATAAAATGCTCTGTTCTGTATTGAATCAATATGGGATGCATTTTGCACATATGCACGTATTTTTGTGCATAATTATTAATGCACAATGTTAGTATCC